TTCTTAGTCAATTTGCACCTGCACCTGGCTAGTTTCAGTATCAACAAACTCATTGCTTGCTGTGGGAAACTGAACTTCCACACCCTGTTCCTCATTGACTATAGCAGGGACATTTTGAACCAGATTGTCAACCTGAATCCCATCATCTTCATCAGAGGCACTCTGTGGTTCCAGCTGTCACAACACATCTTTAGCACCAGCATTCAGCAGTATTTTTATACCAGCAGTCCAAAGGAGAACAGAAGCTTATGACCAGCTTATGCTTCACAAGAAGATCATGACAGTTTATAACCATCACTTTGCACCAGAGGCAGAAGAATCCAGAGAGATGACTGAAGCCAGCAAAGGCGCCTTTTGTAATATATTGCTTTAAGTAACCTTATGATAGTCCCTGGTGGAGTTAACCCTTTGTTCATCTTGTTTGCAGTAAACCCATTTGGTTATCTTTTCATCTTGCCTAAAGTGCCTCTGTGTGTATTAAAGGGTCTTAATCTTAACAGAAGGTATAGAGATAGCCCCTGAGTAAACCCAGACAGTATAGTTTTCCCATAGGCTCAGGCATGCCATCACAATGGTCAGGTTCCAGAAGCATTCTCTCCTGACGTTTTGCCTGCATCTATGGCAGGCATCCTCAGAGGTTTTGAGGTCTTTTGGAAACTCGGAAAATGGGGTTTATATATCTGTGGAATGTCCAGGGTGGAAGAAAGAACTCTTTGTCTACTTGAGGTAGGTGTGAATGTTGCAATTGGCCACCTTGATTAGCATTTAATGGCCTAGCAGTTTCAGGGTCGGGCTTCTTACTTCCTGGAGGATCCTATGTTGGGAGGAGATTAGTTGATCCTGATGGTTTCTTGTCTGGAATTCTCCTGTTTTTGATTGTTGTTCCTTATTTACTGTTATGATTTTGGAGGGTTTTTTTAATACTGGGTAGCCAGTATTCTTTAGTCTTTTCCTCCAGGAGAGTATGGAGCATTACAATCAGTCCCCCACATTTGAAGGGATTAGGGGCACAGGACTGTTATTATAGAGAAGTATTGTTTGTTCCCTCCATCTGAACTACATTCCTGTAGAGATAGTGTGGCATTTTTGGCTACCATATCACACTGTTGACTCATTTTTAAGCTTGCAACCTACTAAAATCCTTAGATTTTTTTTGCACAATAGCTAGGTGTCACCCATCCTGGATTTGTGGATCCCATTCCTCCTGCCCCAATGTTGTGCTTTTAATTTATCCTTGTTGAGGCTAAAAAAGCCAAGACTAGATGTCAGTCTAGGCCAACTGAACTAATAATTTCCCTCTGCGGGATCATGCACATTGTTTTCCTAATGCAGCAAGTCTCTGGAGAAAGACTAATTAGTGTCCTATTTTCCAAGCCTGGTTAGAATATATTCAGCATACATTTAGAGTCGGGAATGTAGTCAGCCCGCATTTAGAATCTGTAGGGCAGGAATATTTCTCAGTCTGAATCCTTCTGGTAAATATTCCCAGGGGCAGTGCAAAGACAGTTAGAATATTAATAAAGAGAAAGGAGAGTGAAAGCTTATTTCTGGTGTGTCTTTGTGTATTAGTGACGATGGCTTGACCATAGTGCTGTAATGAAGACAAATGAATATCCCAGAATGTCTAAGCAGTGGTTATTTCTCACTGAAGTCCTTTAGGACTGCTGATAATTGAGTTTTCATAATTATTGATAGAAATGATTGCCAGCTTAGGGATTTGATAGCATTGCTATGCTGTAGTGGCTTTGGAACAGCGTCGGCAATGATTCCCACAGCACAATTTCTTATTGAAGATCTGTTTAATCCATCCCAAATCATCTCTTTCATTAATTATATTGTCAAAGATATTATGAAATTGAGGTTGCTTTAGCTGAAGCACTACTCACAGTTCAGCGTACTAGAGCACTGCTAATGCATTTGCTTAACAAAATACATGAGAATTGGAATTGACATTGGAGATTCTTCACAGCACTTAACACTCATTAAATAAGACAGGATATAATAGTTGAGGTCCTCCAGGGTCATGCTTTGTTGTAGAATTCATTGATAATTAGATATGTACAGGAACAGGAAAAGCCCCATGCTGTTTTCTGGCAAACCATAAAGTAGCAAACCTAGATATAGCAAAGTGTAAGATTCATGCTCTGGTTGTTAGTCATTTGGTCCCATTCTGGGCAAATACTAGTGAATTTGAGAAGTGTGTTTTCAGTTCTGCCATTCCTATCCACATTGCAGAGCATCTGATGAACCAACCTGGACAAAGCATATTATTTGAGAACACAGAAATGCTGAACAACTCTAACAACTACCATGTCAGGCTACACAAGGAAGCCATTGAAAACCACAAACATGAGGACAATTTCAACAGAAAGGAGAAAACCATGAAAATGAAAAAAATCTGGCTACCGGTATTAAAAAAAAAAATCCAAAATGATAACAGTAAATAAAGAACAACACTCAAAAACAGGGGAATTCTAGACAAGAAACAATCAGGGCCAGCTAATCACCTCCCAACAAAGGATTCTCCCAGACAGGAAGCAGCCAAGCCTTGAAACTGCTAAGCCAATAAATGCTAATCAAAGTGGCCAATTGAAACATTCACGCCTACCTCAACCAGACAAAAGTTTTGCTCCTATCCTGGGCTTTCCATAGATATATAAACCCAATTTTCCTAGTTTCCAACAGACCTCAAAACCTCTGAGGATGCCTGCCACAGATGCAGGCAAAACGTCAGGAGAGAATGCTTCTGGGACATGGCCATGCAGCCCACAAAACTCTGAGCTACCCAGTGATTCCAGCCATGAAAGCCTTCAACAATACACATCGTTAACATTTGGAATATGGAAATTTTAATAGATCAAAAAGTAACCCTCAAGTCATTAACTGTAAGATTTTTTAAAAATCTTGGACAGATTTGGAAAGAAGCTTTCAAGTCATCTCTAGAAGATTCAAAATGTTTTGTTTACTTCTGCAAGGTTTTCCTGACGTGGCTTTCATATGTACATACTACTTTTGAATAAAAGATTTGTTGAATGTTGAACTATTGTTTTTTTTTCTTTTTTGAAGTGTAGAAATGTATCCCTATTATTTCCAAATTATTTATATCTCTGGTATGAAGTTTCTATTAAAGACGTAATGCTCAAGAACACATTTGCTTCATTAGCTGAGGTATACCTGTATCCCAAGACAGCCAAACTGGATTTACATAGCATTATGGTTCTCATTTGTGATATAATTTAATAGCAAGGGATTTAGGGCTTCATAAATTGTGAAGCCTCAAGTAAATCACTGTTTAATACAACCTCACAAGAGCAAGACGTCATTTTGTGTGGTCCCATAAAATGTTAGTCATGAAACCAATTCTAGTGATTCAGAATTTGTAATCTTTTACAAGGGCATTCAACAGGTAATGTGCAGTTAAATGGAAGAGTTTTGCCTTTTTGCAAACCTTTTTTACAACTTTTTTTTAGATTTTGTGAATATGAGAAGAAAATGGAGGGAAACAACATGACAAAACCAATATAACAAAGGCATTATTATTATTATTATTATTATTATTATTATTATTATTATTATTATTATTATTAACACAACAAGATGAGCCCACAGCAGACACTCTGCTGGCTGTTGTATTGGATCATACGGCGGACACTTCGCAAGTGTCTAGGACTGTGTAATGTATCAGCGAATAATGCATGCAGTTCCCAGTAAGGTGGCCTTCTGCAGCTCGCAGATGGGTTATCTTGTCAGCGCTGATTGTGTTTAAGTGTAGGCCAAGGTCTTTAGGCACTGCACCCTGTGTGCCAATCACCACTGGGACCACCTTTACTGGCTTGTGCCAGAGTCTTTGCAGTTCGATCTTTAAATTCTCATATCGTGTCAGCTTTTCCAGTTGTTTCTCTTCAATCCTGCTGTCACCTGGGATTGCAACATTGACAATCCATACTTGATTTTTTAACATGATTGTGAGGTCAGGAGTATTGTGCTCCAAAACTCTGTCTGTCTGAATTCGGAAGCCCCAGAGTAGCTTGACGTGTTCATTCTCTGTAACTTTTTCTGGCTTGTGATCCCACCAGTTCTTTGTTGCAGGCAGATGGTATTTGTGGCACAAGTTCCAATGAATCATCTGAGCATAACAAGATTAGTACACAGCAAACTAGATCACTATGCTGGCTTTTGTATTCAATCACACATCGGACACTTCCCAAGTGTCTAGGACTGTGTGATGTATCAGCAAATAATATTTGCAAATCGGAATAGGGTGGCCTTTTGCAGCTGACAGATGGTGATTTTATCAGCACCGATTGTTTTTAAGTGCAGGCCTGCACCCAGTAAGCCAATCACCACTGTTCCCAGTAAGCCGATCACCACTGGGACCACCTTTGCTGGCTTGGACCAAAGTTTTTGCATTTCAGTCTTTAAATCCTTGCATCGTGTGAGCTTTTCCAGTTGCTTCTTGTCAATTCTGCTGTTGCCTGGGATTTCAGCATTGATGACCCATACTTTGCCCCCCCCCCCCGACATTAAGTCTAGTCATGTCTGACTCTGAAAGTTGGTGCTCATCTCTATTTCTAAGCCGAAGAGCTGGTGTTGTCTGTAGACACCTCCTAGGACATGTGGCCAGCACGACTACATGGAGTGCCGTTACCTTCCCGCAGAAGCGGTACCTATTGATCTACTCACACTTGCATGTTTTCAAATGGCTAGGTTGGCAGAAACTGGGAGTTAACAGCCGAGCACACCCTGCTTCCTGGATTCGAACCACCAACCTTTCGGTCAGCAAGTTCAGCAGCTCAGTGGTTTAACCTCCTGTGCCACCAGGGACCCCTGAGTTTACACTACATTAATGAAATTCATTCAGACTACACCAATGTAGGGTGCCTTGAACAAACTTAATAAAGCTGAACTGATACATTTATCTTATTAATAAGAAATTTTGCTACTTATTGTGAAAGAAAAAAGTTTATACAATTAATATGATTTCAATGTTTCTCTTACAGATAATTGCCTTTGATGAGTTAAAGACGGATTTCAAGAGTCCCATAGACCAATGCAATCCTGCACATGCGGTAAGTTCCTATATACCATACAATAGCCAAATTGTGATAGAAATTATCATCTTTCAATGGAAGATAGGGATTAAATCCTGAATAAGGATTTAGGATAATCTGGAAATGATTTTTCACTGTGCAAGTGTTGACTTAATTATTCTGCATTAGAAAGATGCTGCAATTAAATGACATAAATTACGGTCTAGTTGATGTGACCCATATGGACTCTGGTTTTGCAAGGCAAGGGCAATGTAGAGTGTATCTACACTGCACACCTAAAGCACTTTTATACTCCTTTAATTGCTGAGGCTCCATCCTATGGAATTATTTAATTTATACTTCATACTGGAGTGAAGTGCTTGGAATTCTTAGCTACAGAGCTACATTAGTTCCTGCACATTTGCATTGGGTTATGGGCCCAGGGTACCCACAAAAGTGGAAAACCTGTAAATACTAGTATAACTAAACATTAGGGAATATTTTTCTAGGGATTCTTATATTCTCCAGAGAGATTCTGCAGTCAACTTCCAGTAGAAGTTGACCACTGAATCACACTGAAGATCCTATCATGTATAACAAGCATGGGCAAACTTAGGCCCTCCAGGTGTTTTGGACTTCAACTCCCATGATTCCTAACAACCTCAGGCTGATGTATAGCGTAACAATAGAAATGGCAAATACAGTGATCTGCGTATAATCAAATCTTCAAATGCTTAACTCAAAAATGTGAAGGAACAATTGTATTATTGAAAGGAGTACACTAGACTAGAGAATTCTAAGTTCCTCACAAAAAACAATCCTGAGGATTCCATAGGTGGAGTCATGATAAAAGTAGAATTATATTGCTTTTGTTGTATGGTGTGGATATTCCTTTAGATCACTCTGTTACTTTTTTCATAAGATCATAGCCACTCTGTGGGTCACTCTTCGTATGATTGCATTTATCAAAGTGGAATTATGGCCCAAAGATAGAGTTTTAAAATGCCAGAAGTAGGCAAGTTCACTGGGGTAATGTCATTTTCCACTACAGTAGCAAATTTGATGTATTCACGTCTGCTTTTAAACAAACCAATGTATATGCAACATAAATTCATTTTGTGATTAGACTTTGATCCCAAATACAGGTATTGCACAATCAGGAAAAAAATCAGAAATACAGAACACTTCTGTTCTCAAGCATTTTGGTTAAGGTCAACCTATACGAGGGCCATTCATTAAAGATTTCCCCTGTCCCACTTCTATTTATCACAGGATGCTGAAACTGCACATGTGAAATTACATAAGTCTGTATAGGTCATGTGTCAATTTACAACTCAGAACTAATAACAGTTTTGATTTCACAGGTGTGGAAGTGGTGTGAGGTTTGATAATGGACCCTGTGGAATACAGAGCAGTCATCCTTTATTTGAAAGGCTACACACCAAAGGAAATATTCAATGAGATGAAAGAGGTTTATCATATTATTTGGTTAAAAACTAGCATTGTCAATTCAAATGTGGTCGGACTTCGGTGCAAACAGCTCCAATTCCAGGGCGACCACACTCTGCTATTGATGAATACACCATCCAGAAAGTGGAGGTCTCCATTTTGGAAAATTTCCATGTAACCATTCACCACCTAACTCAAAATGTCAAGATTAGTGTGGAGTCCATGGAAAAAAAATAATCCAAGACCATTTTCACATGCATAATGTATCAGCTTGCTGGGTTCCCCGGCTACTCACACCTTTCCAGAAGCAGGAATGAGTCAAAAGCTCTCAGGCTCTATTAAGGATGGAAACCAGGAGGACTTTTTCAACAGACTGATGACATAAGATGAAAGCTGGGTCCATCACTATGATCCTGAGACTAAAGTCCAGTCGATGCAATGGAAGCATCATGACTCACTACCTCCATGTTGCCCAAATGGAAGCATGCTCCCGTGGCTTTGAAATTCTGCCTTATTCATCCAACCTCACACCATTGGACTTCTACCTCTTTCCAACAAAGAAGTTGTTTTTGAAGGGCAAGCATTTTTCAGATGACGAGACTCTGACTTCCAAAGTCACAATGTGGCTTTTGGAGCAATCTGCCAATTTCTATCAGCAAGGTGTTTACAGTTGCTTAAAAAGATGGGAGAAATGTGCGTCCCTAGGTGGTACCTATGTAGAGAAGGACTAATAACTGTGCCAAGTTTCATTGCTCTCAGTCCACAGGAAGTGGGTCAGGGAAATCTTTAATTACGACCCCTCGTATGTTTGACTGTGGCTGTCACATATGTCAGGTTGTGATATTTTAGATGCAAAGAGGCAAAGTGTACTGAGCTCTATCTCCTTCCCTGCAGGACAGGGGGGCTTTCAGGGAACTCTTGCCGGGAATAAATATGGAAGTTCCATTCAGAGTTATGGTCTTTATATGACCCTCTTCCATGTTATATCTGCTCAAAAGGTGCATTGTAAAAACCCACAGCAAACTCTTTTAAGGCAATTTCCCCTGCAGTTGCATTTCAGAAATCTGTGACTGCAGCAGTGATTGTAGACCTTGCTGTATTTAATTTTGATAATCTGTGGTAATTGCTGTACCATTTGCAAACAGCAATGCAAGATGCATATTCCCTTGACGCCTGTCTTTAACCATCCAATTGCCTTTTCCACTTTAAAGATTTCAAGCTTTGTAGAAAAGGGTGTACTCCTAGGCTGCATGCTGACCCCCAAGAATGGTATTTTTGGTATTCTTGTACTGTCTTGCCTGGGTCAAGTAGATAGAAATGTTACAGTGTGAGAGGAAGATGGCTGTAGCAAATCAACAAGAGATTCCCCCCAGGCGCTTCCAGGCCATTGAATGCAAATCAAGGTGATCAGCTGAAACATTCACAGCTAGCCCCAGCAGACAGGGGTCCTTTGTCTCACCCTGGTCATTCCACAGATATATAAACCCATTTTTCCTACTTCCAACAGACCTCACTACCTCTGAGGATGCTTGCCATAGATGCAGGCGAAACATCAGGAGAAAAATTGCCTCCAGAACATGGCCATGTAGCCCGGAAAAACCTACAACAACCCAGTGATCCTGGCCATGAAAGCCTTCAACAATACAAAATCACACTTGCCTACAAATTGGATGTTTGTTTCTGATGTAGTAGTTGATATATTCCATGAGTGAAAGGCTAAAAAATGTGTTTATCTAAATAGACCCTGAGGCGAAGACAGGCGCATTGAGCCTCTAACCATAGTAGTGAATGAAATTAAGTCCTCAGAATGACTGTTCCAAAATCATTTCTAAAACCATGTAATGCATTTGTGTAAAATCATCAGGCCTAATGCTGCCTGGCAACTCTCCTGGAAAAGAACCAGCAACTGAATACATCACTGACCACAGTTCAATCTACACGTAGGCTGTAAGCCAAACTTTGCTCATCTCTGATCTTGAGCCATAGAGTCCCCTTATTGAAGTCAGGGGGGATTTTTTATTATTATTCCTGTCACTCTGCAGCTGGTCACAGAATTGCACTGTAAATAAAGTTGTTGAATCAACTGCATTTGTGGGCAAATCTCCTTTGATTTTATTGAAGATAATTTCCCCATGCTATGTATAATACGGCCATGACTCGTGCATTACTAAATGAGGAAGCAGTGATGACAGATGAGATGTTATTGCTATTGTTTCATTAGTAATGAAACTTTGCTGAAATTAATTATATCAAGGGTATATTAGAGTTCATTCTTTTCCAGAAATACAGATTGAGTATTTTGTGTATCCAAAATGCTTGAAATCAGAAATATTTTGGATTTTGGATTTCTTTTTGTGGATTTTGGAATAGTTGTTTATTCATAAAGCAGGCCTACATAACTTGTGGCACTCCAAGTATTTTGGACTTCAGCTCCCAGAATTCCTGACCATTGGACAAGCTGGCAAAAGGTTTCGGAGAGTCTGAGTCCCATGTCTGGTTGTGCATGTTTGGGATAAAGAAATATCTCGGTGACGGCACCCAAGTGTAAACAAAATTCATTGATGTTTCATATGCATCTTATACGTGTAGCTTGAAAGCAATTTTAATAATTTTCTGAATGAAACAAAGTTTACATCCATTGAAACAAAGGTGTCACGAGCTCAACTACTTGTGTAGAAAATTTTGAATTTGGAGCATTTCAGACTTCCAGTTAGGGGATACTCAACTTGTATTTTGCTTTATTTACAAATTTCATAAATTGTACATTTTCTGTCCATTCTGCTTCCCCTCCCCCCACTTTTACAGAGAGAACGGTTGAGGAACATTGAGAGAATTTGCTTTCTTCTAAGAAAGGTAAGGAATAACTCAGGGGTTCTGTATAGTGCTTGAAGGAATTAGAGCTATGAAATTTGTGGTACTAGAAATATCCGCTAACCTTCCCATGGTCTCTATTCTGTTGACTTCAATGAGAGGGTAATAATGTCACGAGGAAAATTGGAACTGAGGTGACATTTGAAGGAAAGGGAAAACACTAATTATAAAGGACTTACAACCTGTCAATAATATCTTGAAAAAAAATGAACTATTAAAAACACCATTGAGAATACCATCAATTTAATAGTCTTGTTTCTGAAGGCAATGGCTGATTTTGGAGCCATATTTTCTAGTGGCTGTTAAGAATTATGGGAGTTGAAGTCCAAAACACCTGGAGGGCCGAAGTTTTCTCATGCCTGTCTTACATCCTTTTGCCAAAAACTCTTTTTACATTTATAATAATGTAATAGATTGACAAAGGGCAATTTTTTACTCTGAAACTAATGCCAAACGATCAGATATTTCACCAGCTTAATAGAAAAACAAAGAGTCCACATATCTGCTGATAAATAAGCAGGTGGTGCCTTTTTGGGTTAGAAACCCCCTGTGCAAAAAACAATTCAGCTTTCCCTAAACTTGGTGTTCCTAGGGCTCCCTCCCTCATATTGGCTCCCTCCCTCATAACGTTTCGGAGGCAAGTTAAAACATGGTTGTTTGAGCAAGCATTTACAAATGCAGAGTAGCTAATATATAGGAAATTGAATGACTTGACGATGGAACTGGACAATGCTTGATAATAAGGCGATGCTAATGATGTTGTTTTTATTGCTCTTGTTGTGTTTTATACTGTTTTTAATGTTTTAATCTGTATTATTATTTTATGTGTACTGATTTGTTGGAAACCGCCTTTAGTCGCCGATTGGCTGAGGAAGGCGGTATACAAATACAGCAAATAAATAAATAAATAAATAAAAGATGTGTTAGACTAGGACTCTCATCAAACTACAACCAGCATGGCCTTTCCTATTTGCTGAGTTAAGATTCAATACATAGGAAGGTATCAGGTTGAAAAAGACTGATTTTATGCATTTTTAATAGTTAGATATCAGAGTGATTACTCTCATAATGACGTCATACCTTTGTTCTGAGAAACGTGTAACATAATGAGTTTCCAGAAGTAAATCTGTTGCTCATGAACATCATGTATACATATGTTATTTGCTTGTTCCTGGAAAAACTGGTGTAAAGTTCCAAATTAGATGGCCCACTAATTTCAGTTAGACTGAAATTATATTGAAATGATTAGGAATTTCAAGTATCTGAATTATTATTGTTGTTGTTTTTGTTGCATTTTTATATTCCGCCACCATCTTCCCGAAGGGACTTGGGACGGCTCACAAGTGGGACCAAGCCCAATTCAACAAAACTTACAAACCAAAAACACATTTTAAAAATATAATATGCATATAACAACCTGATTAAATCAATTAAAAACAGAAGAATATAAAAACAAACATTAAGATAAAACAAAACAAACCTCCAGAACCAGGGATAAGGTGGACAAGTTCAGAAATTGGAGAGGGCTGTGCAAGGGCTTGTGCAAAAAGCAGATTATAGGGCTAGGGGCAGGGTAAAGGGCTGAGTTCACTGTAATGGTCAGTTTGGGCTGGACATTCATTGACAGGGGCTGAACTATTATCAAATGCACACTGGAACATCCAGGTTTTGAGGTCCCTGCAGAAGGTGGACAGAGTCAGTGCTAGCCTAATCTCCCTGGAGAGGGAGTTCCAAAGCCAGGGGACCACTACCGAGAAGGCCCGCTCTCTCATCCCCACCAACCATACTTGTGATGGTGGTAGGAGTGAGAGAAGGGCCTCACGGGCAGATCTTAGGGTCTGCACTGGTTCATAGGGGAAAATGCGGTCACAAAGGTAGGCAGGACTCAAACCGTTTAGGGTGTTGAAGATAATAACCTGCACTTTGAATTGGGACTGGAAACTTATCGGCAACCAGTGGAGCTGAATCATGCCCTTGTTTGCAAATTGTTGTCACAGCCAACAAAGATATGAATGAAAATTAGTTCTCTAGGTGATTCACCACTTGGAAGAGATGAAGCAGTAATGAGAATATCCATCCTACCTACAGCCTACACCTTTGTCTAGGAGTGATGTAAATCCACAGCTCAGGAGTAATGACTCCAATGCAGGTGGGCTCCATTCACATAGGAGCTAAAAATAGAGAAGGAACATCAGTACTCTATGTATAAAAGCGCCGTCTCCCAACATCCTTGGTGCCCTGCATTTAGCCAAAAGGCCACTTGGGAATGTCTGCGTGGATTTGTCTGAATACTGTGTTCTTATGATGACCATAAAAACAAAAGAATGAGAAATGGTTAGAAAGAGTGGGAATGTGGGTGGTAATCTTATGTGAAGTCTCTTTTCATATGTGTGTGCGTGTACCAGCTGTACCCAAATAAAATCCCTTTCTGATTGGGAAAGATGTTGCTGGTACAGAAGTGTTTTTCAAAGTGTGGATACAAAACAGAGTCTCATCATGAAAATTATCTTTATGTCCTCGGAGCAATTGAAGGGACAGAACTATCACAGGCCATAACTACAAATCATGTTATTCACCTCTGCATATAAACAATTTCTCTGGTTGTCTCAGCAACTGAATTTTATTAGCTTAATTGGATGGATTCATATATAGTATTTTAAAGAATGTGTCCTTCTCCATTTGATTTCTCTGTGTATATATATCCAGCACTCAGACTTTCTCTACTCCATTATTCTGTGAAGCATGGTCTTATCTGTTAAAAAGATACCGTATTTCTTTAATTCTAAGACACTTTTTTATGTAAACATATAAAATGGGGTGCATTTTAGAATTGCAGGTATATCTTATGTATTTTTGTTGTTGTTGGTGGTGGTAGTGAAAATATAATCAATGGCATCTTACAATTGAAGACATACAGTGTGTTTGAAACTGTGTACCACAATACCTCTGTCAATCTGCAGAACTCTTTGTTTCTTTAATGGCAGGTTGCATGCTTTGCACATAAAAAATACTAGTTTCAAGTCCCAGCATCTCCAGGTAGGCCTAGGTAAAGGTAAAGATTTTCCCCTGACATTAAGTCCAGTCTTGTCTGACTCTGGGGGTTGGTGCTCATCTCCATTTCTAAGCCGAGCCAGCGTTGTCCATAGACACCTCCAAGGTCACGTGGCTGGCATGGAGCACTGTTACCTTCCTGCTGGAGCGGTACCTATTGATCTATTCACAGTTGCATGTTTTTGAACTGCTAGGTTGGCAGAAGCTGGAGCTAACAGCGGGAGCTCAAGCCGCTCCCTAGATTCAAACCTGCGACCTTTGGATCAGCAAGTTCAGCAGCTCAGTGGTTTAACCCATTGCGCCACTGGGAGCTCCAGGTAGGTCTAGGAAGGACCTATCTCCGAAACCCTAAAATCTGAAACCGCCAGTCAGGGGGACAATACTTAGCCAGGTAAAGAATAATAAATAATAAATAAAACTTTATTATCTATCTCCCCAAGAGGACTCAGGGCAAAACATAGGGCAAAACACTCGGTTGCCGAACTTCACAAAAACCATACAAAAATTACCATTATAAAACATAAACGTAATCCTATTAAAACAATCAGAAACATTTAAAAGCCAGTTTCAGTTTTACTCCATCAGATGGGATTCAAAATATCAATGGCCAGAATTAGGAAGTGGATCTAGTCAGCTATGAAAGGGCTGGGCAAGGGCTAGTGCAGCAAAGTAACATAGGGCCAGGGAAGTGGATAAAGTGCAGAGCAGGGTCCTAGCTAATGGCCAGGGAAGGGCCTGGCGCTAATCATTTTCAAAGGCCTGCTGGAACTACCAAGTTTTCAGGTCACTGCGGAAGGAAGATAGTGATGGGGCTTGTTTTGTGTCTCTGGGGAAAGTGCTCCAAAGTTGGGGGGCACCACCACCGAGAAGGCCTTCTCCCTCATCTCCACCAACCATGCTTGAGATGGTGGTGTGAGTGAGAGGAGGGCCTCCCCTGCAGATCTAAGAGTCATAGGGGGAGATGCAATCATGGAGATAAGCGGCGCCAGAACGGTTTAGGGCTTTGTAGGCAATAATCTGCACCTTGAATTGGGCCCAGCAACTTATCGGCAGTCAGTGAATATGTGGGGGGGGGGGTACATCATGAGGTATGGTCGCAGCTGGCACACAAGCTTTAACTGTGCAAAGACCATCCTAGCCACTGCTGACATCAAGTGTCAGCGCTGAATCTAGGAGGACACCAGCCTGCAGACCGGGCTGTGGTGCAGCTAGTTAGTAGCCAGCTGCATTAAATCACTACTGACCAAGAGGTCATGAGTTTGAACCCACCCCAGGTCGGAGTAAGCTCCCGACCATTAATAGTCCACTTTGCTGTTGACCTATGCAGCCTGAAAGATAGTTGCATCTGTCAAGTAGGAAATTTAGGCTAATTTAACTAAGTTACGATGCCATAAAATCTTCCAGTAGCATGCATAAGAATGAGGAAGTACTCCACCAAGGACTCGGTGTCACAAGTGGATGGTGAAGCTGCAGCTCCCCCTGTGGCTGGAATCGAGCATACCCTCATGAAGCAGGAATAGCTAGAACATTATATTGCCTCTGTGTCTGTCTATATATGTTGTATGTCTAAATGGCATATGTGCATTGCAATCTGCCCTGAGTCCCCTGTGGGGTGAGAAGGGCAGAATATACTGTAAATAAATAAATAAATAAACACCCTTGGGCACAGGTTGCCACCCCATACCCCGATCAGCCCCACGACTGACCAGGAGGACATCTGTCTTGTCTGGATTAAGTTTCAACGAGAAGACAGGTCAGCCTCAACTTCAGATGTTCTTTTTACTATAATGGACTAACAATGCTCTTCCTTTAAAATTAATTTGACTATGTTAATTGCCAACTCAGCAGCCTGCTAGTTCAAGTTGTGTCCCAGATTTTGTAATGCAAAGTAAGAGACAGTAGTAATTTTATTAATTTATGCATGTTGCTTG